GAACAAGGTGCCCTGAGTCCTAGTCCAGTGGCTGTGCTCTAGGAAACAGATCTTTTAATTTTCCAGTAAGGTCTGTCCTTCATTCACTGAACAGGATGGGTTCTGAAGGAGACTAAATCGAAGTTGCCAAAGCAATCAACTGAACATGAAAAATATCCTAACTTTGAAGTGTCTGTAATAAATATATGTTTCATGATGGAGTGGAGTACTTCGACTGAGCTGTTTCTGGGTAAATAATACATCAATAGTCAGAAACACGAACTCATAGAAAGGCCGGTGCAGTTCACAAAGTACAGTTCACTGTTGACAAATCATCTGTCAAGTAAAATGAATTGTCTTTGCTGACTTTATAGTTATAGTTATTATAGATACAGTTGTTGTACTTACATAGTGGTAATGTAGAGTTACAATAAATATTGGTATAAAAATCAGAAAAGAACTGCAAGGATGATTTTCCTAGTCAATGAAGGTTGTTCCATTAGCTTGCATTAGCTGTGGTCTGAGAATTTTTTTTGTGTGTTCTGAGCCACACATAAGCAATGGAATGTAACCTTTAGATTATAAATACTAGATAGTGTTATTTAAATTCAAGCTGTTTCGACTGATTTTGGTTTGTTTCTGTATATGCCATGAAAAATGTCTCTAAAAGTACTTTCAGGAAAATATTCAGCATCACCAAACACAATCATCCAAAGTGACGTTATCATCCAAAGAGCTAGGCTGCTGACAGAAGTTACAGATTTTATGTAAGGCATCCAGGTTTTTCAGAGTTTTATGAAAAAGATCATTTAAAATCTAAGCATTTTAAGTAGCCTAATATAACTGAAATGCATAAGATAGATAAAGCAGAACCTTGCATACACTTCTTGGAACCTACTACACTTCTTCCGTAATTAACTTTAATTATATTGGTCTGCTGGATGTTAGGCATAGTTTTTCTCATACAGCATCCTCTCCTAGCTATTCTTAACTCCTCTCCAGGAATACGTGTCGTTAGATTAGTTTATTCACTAGAATACCCAGTCACACTAACTCTGCTGTAGCACAAATTCTGTCGCAATGTCGAGACATAACTTTTTTATTGGGCTGAAATCATAAATACAGAGAGGAAAATTACATCGCTTTTAGTGTTGGACAAGGCTGAAAGCTTTAATTAAAAAAAAAAGTTTACCTTACTTACTTTAGCATCAATGTCTTCTCGAGCTCTGCTAAATTGGCTGCCAACTTAAAAGGTTCATCCTTTCATATTGTGGTATAGTCTCCACTCAGAAATTTCTTGGTCAGTAGCTACTAAAATTCTCCAGTTTTTGATTCCTTAACACCAGAAGTGTTTAGCAATCAACAGGTATTGACCTACCTAAGAAAATGGTTTATAATAATCTACTCATGATGACTGGGGGAGCACCTCCTCTACAAATAATCACTGCATTTCTTTCTTTTCCTCACTTGAAAAATAAAGAAAGAAAAATCAAGAGAGAAAAATCCACATTGTTAACAGTAGAGACAATAAAATAGAGACCGTAAATTCCTTTGCATTTAGAGCAAATCTGCCTTACAACATGTTTGAAATCATGTGCTTTCTGATATCACAGATTCAGTCAATTCCAAACCCCACAATAAAGATATTCTGAGTCTCATTGGGAACGAGACGTCTTGTAGAAATTACCGTATACCATACCAGATGGCATCTTTCTTGCAGACATCACTTCAATGTGCTTCTTCTATTGCCTTGGAGAAGAAAAAAAACAAGTATTGCCATCCCTGTAAGAGACTTCTTAAGAGTCTGAGTAAGAGTAAGAGTAAGAGACTGCGTCAGTTTTCCCATGCAGCAATAGGTACATCTTTTTTGTTTGTGGTATCACAGGAGGATTATCATGGGATTTATGTTCTTTGAAATCATAGGAAAGTATAGTAGTATGTAAATGTGTTGCAGGTGAGACCATCTCATACAGTCTGTACGACATTTTTCAATGTCAGGACCAGCTTTAGGCCTAGGCAAAGTAGGCACTGCCTGCAGCAGCACACTGCTGGGGCTGACACTGAATCATAGACTAGCAAAATGAAGAGATAGCCTTCTAGTCTCAAAGCAATAGCATCTGCTCCAGGTTCCACTTGCACTGGCTCAGAAAAACTGTCCAAGGAGCCCCCCTAAGATAAGTCTCCTGGACTGGCAAAGAACAAGGAGTTCTAAAGAGCTGCAAGTTCCCATAATGAAAGACTTGACTCTTATCCCCGCATTCCTGGCTCTGCTCTGTGCCTGCCTTTGCCTTTGCCTTACTACTACCTTTGGTGGAAGAAGGAGGGAAAAAAAGTCTTGCAGATAACAGGGTACTCTAGCAATGAGATGATAGTCAGGGATGAAGACAAGGTGGTAAGCTGACTGTGTTTCTCCTTATTTTCTTTCCCGTTGCTGAACAACCTTATGTTTTGTTGATGGGCTCAGACATGTAGTTGTGCTGGCAGGGGACAGAGTTGGAGGAGAGTGTGCAGTGGGACCAGCAGTGCTATAATCATCCAGTGCTGGGACCATGGAGATAGTTAGACACAGTACCAACAGCTACATGAGGAAATGTGTCTGGGGAGCTACTCAAAACCTGAATTTTGCCTACACTGTTGCTAGGCATTGAGCGAAGCACTTCTCATCACTGGCAGCATAACTTCCATGCTGTTTATAGTAAGGTAAGGAAGAAGCAGTTTGAGCATGAAACTGGTATATTGATTATTGGCTGTGCCTTATTGTGGGCAGAACATTTGTGTTGGTGGGGGACACAAGATGCAGAGACATTTGTGTCTATGCGTGTATGGGAAATACAGGAGTCAATCATGCATGATCCTTTCAAGGAGTGGGATTATGCTTCACTAGGTCTCTTTCCAATATCAACTTTTCTGCTTATGGGGGAAAGGGGGAGACAAAGTCAGGATTAAATACTTGAGAAAACTCCTAAAAGTTTCTTCAGCAATTACAGATTTACCAGTGCCTGATAAGCCTTCAGTACTTTTTTGAGAGATGTAATGAACTTCATGTAGTCATGTATCAAATCAGTAAGAAGACCTGGAGTAACGTAAGCTCTCATAACAGACCTTAGGCAACTTTCCAACCTCATGAAAGATCTTCTATGGCTTAATTAAAATTATTCTACAGAATCATTATGGACTTCAGTTTGCATTAGATGTTCCACAAATCCAAGCAGCAATATCAGAGTGAAAGGTCATCCAGTTGTAGTCCAAGGACTAGTCATGTTGGAGTTGAAACTCTTATAATATTGTTAATTTTAAATATCCAGCTAAGAGTCTGTTCTGCAACTGCTCAGGGAGCCTCTGCATGTCACTTGCAGAAACTTTGTATCATAACATGTTGGTCAGACTGTAGGTTTGGATTTCTATGAAACAGTTTTCTGCCATAGTATCATCAATCCCAAATGATGGCCTTGACAGATATCTATAATTTCCTTGTGCCTGGAATTACAGTCCTCATTAGAGATGGTCATTGCTTGAGATTCACAGTGGACAAAAAAAAAACAAAACAAAAAAAATTAATATGTTCAATAAATGAAGTTCTACTGGACAGGATTCTTCTTAGAATTATACCCTGAATATACCCATTTTCTGCCTTTTTGATAAGTCCTTTGATCCTGTTATGAAAAGCAAAAGTTTAACAAACATTCCTCTCAGAGCAAAGGTGTAAAATATTTCCATCTTGAGAGAAACTCTCTCAAAAATGGAACATTGATGGAAAATACATCATGAGGTATTTGGCTTCCTGTGCAGAAAATGAACTTTGCTTTCGTTTTAAATTTATCATCTTTTATTAATTTTTTCCAGTTATAGTTGATAAAATATACATCCTCTCTAGAAATCATGCGAATCTTATATGTCTGCCTGCTATCATTCACATTTTTGTAAGGAAAGGATATGAACTTAAAATTTTATTTAGTAAAAATATTCTTTTAATTATTCATTTGAAATGGTGACCTTTTCAAGTTGAATTATTATATGTTGGCATGAAGGTTTTCTTGTGTCTTATAATATTTTACGGTTGAAGAAATCATGCAGATAATCTAATTACTTTGACTAAAATTGTTGTGCCGTTTATGTCTTTTGCTGTACTACAGGAGAGAAACTGTGAAATGTATTCATTATCAATTCATTAAAGGTTTTTGCTATTATATAAGAAGAGATGCAGTCCACTACCTATCTTGTATTAAAAGGGGAAAGGGGAAGGCATAGTAAAGCATGCCATAGGCTATGGTTTATGTATTGCATTTCTTAATGTCTTGTGAAACGTAAAAATCTACAACAAACAGATATGTAAAGCGTAACTGGTATGAAGATTCTATTCAGATTTAAGTGCTCTAGGTTGCTTTTGAATCTTGCTATTTTCTGCATTTGTTTTGACTGCTCTCATCATTCAAGATTGACGCTTGGATGGGTGTGTAGGAGGAAGCAGCAGCAGCAGGCTTACAGCTTGCAGACAAAAAAAAAAATCTGCCTTATCTGATGGCTATTATTGAAAATGCGAGGTGTAGCCTAGGCTGGGTAATGAAGGGGAGAGAGCGAGGGGGAGCAAGAAGCATGGAGCTGCATACTGATGAGTGTAGGAGTACTTGATAAAAAGAATTCTTGCTGCTGGCAGTGCATTGCTCATTGTGGAGTATTCCAACAATCACATATAACGGAGAACAGCTTAGCTGACAGCTTGATATGCGCTTTTTTTTTTTTTTCCCCCTACTGTATGACGTACTGGTCTGTAGTAAAGATTAATAACTAAGAAATGTAGAGCTAGGATCAGATCTTACGCTATATACTGCCCTGTAAACTATGTTTTACTTCTGACTTTTCTGCTTGCTGAAAACATTAATCTGTCAAGCTGGCGGGCTCCTTTGATACCAACTTTCCCAGGAACACGATGTGGCAATGCCACCTCTCAGCCCAGGACTACCGCTATTATCCAGTGGATGGTTATTCGTTGCTTAAACGCCTCCCTCTTCACCCTCCTACAGGACCCCGATGCCCTGTCCAGACAGTGGGACAATGGTTGGAAAATATTGGGCTACCTCAGTATGAAAACCACTTGCTGGCTAATGGATTTGACAATGTGCAATTTATGGTAAGAAATCTTCTGTGCATAGCTGTGTATATACACTGTAGCTGCCTTTTTTGTCTGTCTCTTATGTGCTCATAAAAACCTTAGAGCGATTCTGCATTGCACTAAGAAGATCTGTTTAGTGTTTCACTTTTCTATGTCTAGCTAAATTAATATATAAATTGTCCTTGTGTAAACTTCCAAAGTGTACACGTTACAAAATATTCTAGCCAGAAATATGGTAAAAGAAAAACTGAATATTAAGGCTCTCTCTCCCCCTCATCAGTCTTCAGATTAAAAAAGAAAAATGCACAGTTCTTCTAATCCATTGCAGGATTTTCACAGTATGTAAAAGCTGTCAACACCCCTATCTCCAATACATCACGTTATTACTTTTATTTAAACATTAATATCATTGTAATAATAATTAAATAACATGCAATGCCTCTTGCATTGAGAGGTATTTTAATACCAGAAAATTATTTAATGAAGTGTGCTCTCTCTGCAAGTGATTCTGAATGCCTCAGTTAAATGTTTTTGCATCTTAGATAATCAGGCTATGGGATTCACTTGTTGAAACTTATGCCCTGTGTGAAAAAGTAATGCATTCCTTTTGATAGTTCCATTTTCATGTTTTAACTCTAGGCATTTGTCAGGAACATATGAATGAAATAAAATTTTATATACTTCAGAATTTACAGTATTACCATGTGGTGTAAACTAACATAGACCTGTCATGCACAAACTTTCAGTTGAAATGAATATTGACAGTAAAGAGAGAAGCTTACTTGTAAGGTTGTTATATAATCACTTTTCTACCTGCTCCAGTATTCCCATTACTTGAACATCTTGCAAAAATCCTGACCACATTTCTTATAAAGTATCAGAGCTTAAAATATTATTAATCACCCCTTTTTTAAGATATTTAGTAACCATGTATATCTTGTAACAATTCTAACTTTTCATAACTTCCACCTGGCATATAAGAAACAGAAATGAAACAGCATGAATATTATGACTATAAAATCATCACGAGTTGTGTTTTTCCTATTTGATTTCTTTTGCCAACATCATTATATGCCTATGGGTTACTGATCAGAAAATGAAGGCACAGATCTCTGCCATTTCCACATTATAACAGTGTAGAGATTTCTTACTGGTTTTACATGGCTGCCATGTGATCTTTTGCTTATATCAGTAAAAATCATTAGAATCTTTACCTTTAAATATTCTCGAAAACAAAGCTGCAAGGGTCTGCTGTCAGCCTAGCAACATAAAAAAAAAAAAATCAAAAATGCATTTCAAGCTACGGTTTCCCAAAATGTAACCACATATTCTTATCTATGTTGTGGCGTTAGTTGCATAAATAGATGATCGTTTAGTCTTAAAGAGATTACAGAGGGAAATTGTTCACAAGAGGCTGTAGGTGGCATAACAAATGCAGAGGGGTACACCTACCACAGGTGAATGATGAGCACCAGAGAAGCCAAAGAAACTGCCCTGGAGGGCATTCCAGTCATCCCCTGGCTCTGAAGGGGCCTGAACCACGTTCTTGGGGAATTTATAAGACTTTAATTTCCTACATCTCTTATTAGTATACTTAAGTAAACATAAAAATTATATACGAGAGTCTATTATTCAAGACGCAAATCAAACTTTTCAGGTATCAGGCAGATTAAGTTATGCCTGCATACTTGTGTGTTAGCTAATGTTTTCCGGTCATTTTAATTTAAGCCTTTTCTGACGTGGTTTGGTTTTAAATATATATCGCAGGTAAAATACATAATTACTCTTAATATTAGTTGGGGTAGCATGCATATGTGAATGGAAGATTAGACTCTTAAATCCAATAATAAGCAAAAAGCTGGAAAATGGCCTAGTAATAAAAAATGTATCATTTCAGTAATTTAATAATTCCTAATTTATTGATTTCACACTGTTCATCATGCTGTTACACATTCCAGTTTTTGTTTGTACCAGAAATTGAATAGTTCCCATATTTTATTGGAAATAAAAATGATCAGAAAACATCAGTTTCTTTATATTCTTTTGAATATATCAGCAGAAGTATTTTGAATATTTTGAATATATCAGCATAAGTAAGGAAAACCTCTCCTGAAAAATTAAATGAGTGTTTTTAAAAATATTTTCCATTCTAGCCAAAATGTTGAAGAGAAAATTAAACTTGGAAAGTATATAGGAAAATGAGAGAAGAAAGACCTGCTGTGCTAAGAGAAAAATTCAGATTACTCCAAACTTAAATGTGTTATAGTCTTCCTTAATATGAGAGAACTGCTTTACCTTTATTAAAGTGGTTTGCATATTAAGCTAAATTTTACAAGCTTATTAAATCAAATGCTTCAGAGAGGTTAGCTACTTTACATTGAACAACTCTAATACTTCAATCCAGTAAAAATCAGTTAGACATATTTGTTCTTTATTCTGTATCATATTCCTGCTTTTGTTTTTCTAGAAGCACATTCTGACCTGCATTTATTCATTCTGTTGCCTAAGCAACAACCATCACACTCCTATTAAGTATGATTTAGTAGTACAGGTCTTACTAGACGTTCAGGAGAGGGAATATCACAATGATATAATTAATGTCCATGGAATAACATACATCTGAGAACAAATGTATCCTATTTATACTACTCTCAACAGCAAAATTCTATTAATTAAATTAGCATTCTAATAAAAAGGTGTTTTTCAGATAAAAAGATTTCATGGTTAATCATTCATTAGATCATAGAAATTAACTCCTTGTGTTTAGTCCCCCTTGAGCATTAGGAAAGGTAGTCACTAGACTATGCTTAGAATTAGGAAGATTTGTTTATGTTACCTGAGGTGTGTGGACTTTACAGCAAGAAACAGCCTGTTTCCTATTAACTTCACAGTATGAATATTTTTTCCATAGTTCATCAATATATATGTTTTAAAAATAGGTTGAAACATAGTATTAAAAAATTAGTTGTGTTTTCATGAACTACTTTATTTCTACATACCACGTATTTCCACCCATAGCGAATGCAGTTCCTACCTACTATTAGTGTCGTGCAGGAATGACACTTGTGTAATATTTAGTAGGCCCAAGGCAGATTCAGTCCTAAGACTTGGTTCACGTGTGCTTGTAGGAATAGAATCGTACTTGAGTATGTATATATATATATATATATGCAGTCATTATTAACTTTGATAATTTGTTGTGTAATAGGCTGCAGTGTCCTTCAGATGTAAAAATTTGTAGTGACTTGGTGCAGAGATACTCTATATTTGAAGATGCAGATGATACTGCAGTTTCATAATGTAAAAGTGATTTTGCAGTTAAACTAATTCTAAAGTGCAAGAAAACAATTAGATCAGTCGTAAATTGCAGTATATAAACTAGATATAAACAATAAGGAAACAATGAATCCATGAACACCTTTTGATGCATAGGTCCCATGGATATCCCTGGGACAAGCTATAATCTTTATGCAGACTTGCAGGCCTACATCACTCAGTATGCTGAGAAAAAAAAAGTTAAATTGCAGAGAAACAGATGAAAATATACAAGTGTGCGAGGTCACTAGGTCCTTGCATGCAGCTTTCTACAACTCTGGAGTTTCATCAAAGACTCCATTCTGGGTTGACAGAGATAAAAGCAGTTAAATCAAATCACTGCCCAGTGGGGACGAGTTCTGATTAAGTACTGCATATGACTATCTATTTATAGGTTGTTCTACTCGTTTAAGAGATTCTGAAATTTTATGACTTGCTTGATATTGCAATTTGGTGAAGATAGTATCTCTTTAAAAGTTTTATAAAACACTGTATGAGAGAAACAGGGACCAGGTTAACAGAAAAATATGAAGCATTTTATTATATTTTTTGACATTCCAAAATATTGTTCACTAGTAAGTTAATAACCTGAGTTGGCATTAAACACTAGACTTTCATTGCTTCTGTGAACTTACAGACATGTACCTCTACCCCTTCAAGTACTTAAATGGCTTGCATTGCCTGAGGATCTAAGTATTACCAAAGTATTTTTTTTTAAATTCTGTCTTTTTCGCTATTGGGAAACTGAGGCATAGAGTGACTGCAGGGTGGAATTTAAAACTGCTTATACATTTGAGATAAGGGGCACTGGTTCTTAAAATAGCTACTCACATAATGTTTAACAGATCAATCAGTTGCTTAAACTTAGGTTTCTAGTTCCAATTGAGATACTGCAGGGGATCCAGGAGATCCAGACAGGGCTGACAGATATTACTGAGGACCAGAGACAGACAGACCGACCCTTCATGATTAGTAGCTGGAGTGCAGGTAGGATACCACCGAGCATCTCAGGTGACTCTAGAGTCCTGATGCTTATGCAGCTGAAATGAATCTTAAATGTTGTAAGTAACACAGAGCTTGTGACATGTCTAGGAATTGAATATAGATGTCTTGAATTTCCACCTAGTATCTTAGTTGCATATGCATTTCTTTTCCTTCTAATGATTTTCTGTTATTTGTATTCATCCTGTGAACTTACCTGCACAAGTATTTACCTGGTTTCGCAGTGCTAGGCATGGACAGCCTTCTCAATTCCCCTTAGCTGCCTGTTCTGGATTTAGTTTTTGAGTTAAGTTTTGACTTTTCTTTCTTCCTTCCTCTCTCTCTTTCTTTCTTTCTTTTCTTTCATTTTTTACTAGGTCTGGAGGTTTATTAGTCAGCTGGAGTTTATCTGGAGATTATCCTCTCTCAGGTGTCATTCCTGGGATTTGCTGTCCTGGAATACCCAGTAATTTTTCTTGCCTTTAATCTCTCTGGAGGATCTTAAACTCTGTATCAAGTACAAAGGACAGAAGCAATTTTATTTCTTTAGAGTGAAATGCACCCGGAAGAAATTCTCTGTGTGCATTGGCTCCCAGTCCTGCACTTGTAGAAACCACCACAGCTTTTATCCAAAAATACCTGGTGCAGAGAGTGATGATTTGGGCATTATATGAAAGCTTGAAAGAGTGAGTCAGTCTGCCAACACCTTTCTTAAATTAGCC